ACAAAATTGAATCTACACTACCTGAAGATGATTCCACATGAGTTTCATCTTTCCTGGTCCAGTGGTTCTTGAGAAGAAGATTTTTAAAGATTTTTCCTTTATATTCCTATGTAAAACTTTGATCGGCCATTTTGGCCCCACCCTACCCCAGGGGTCATGATTTGTACAAAATTGAATCTACACTACCTGAAGATGATTCCACATGAGTTTCATCTTTCCTGGTCAAGTGGTTCTTGAGAAGAAGATTTTTAAAGATTTTTCCTATATATTCCTATGTAAAACTTTGGTCGGCCATTTTGGCCCCACCCTACCCCCGGGGGTTATGATTTGAACAAAATTGAATCTACACTACCTGAGGATGGTACCACATGAGTTTCATCTTTCCTGGTCCAGTGGTTCTTGAGAAGAAGATTTTTTAAAAATGCCATCAATTTTTCTCTAATTCATAATTATCTCCCCTTGGAAAAGGGCGTGGCCCTTCATTTGAACAAACTTGAATCCCCTTTACCCAAGGATACTATGTAGCATGTTTGGTTAAAATTGGCCCAGTGGTTCTTGAGAAGAAGATGAAAATGTGAAAAGTTTACAACGACAACGACACCAACGACGACAACGACGCCAACGACAACGACAACGACAGACAACGGACAAATTTTGATCAGAAAAGCTCACTTGAGCCTTTGGCTCAGGTGAGCTAAAAATATGTCACAAGCGAGGTGTGCATGAGTGTACATATAGTACAGGCAGTATTTCAGCGACAGATACTCTGTATCGTATGAGAACAATCTGTGAATCTACGATTTAACTTTAAAAATCTTAACAAAAACTTTAAAAAGTTGGAGCGCCAATGAATGGCATGGGCGATTCAGAGTTGCGTATCCTATAAAAGCAGAGTTAAGGAATAAAATAAATTAAAATCTTAACAAAGAAAATCATGCAACGACAACGACACCAACGACGACAACGACGCCAACGACAACGACAGACAACGGACAAATTTTGATCAGAAAAGCTTACTTGAGCCTTTGGCTCAGGTGAGCTAAAAATATGTCACAAGCGAGGTGTGCATGACTGTACATATAGTACAGGCAGTATTTCAGCGACAGATACTCTGTATCGTATGAGAACAATCTGTGAATCTACGATTTAACATTAAAAATCTTAACAAAAACTTTAAAAAGTTGGAGCGCCAATGAATGGCATGGGCGATTCAGAGTTGCGTATCCTATAAAAGCAGAGTTAAGGAATAAAATAAATTAAAATCTTAACAAAGAAAATCATACAACGAGGGCAATTCTTAAAAATAAATGTCAAGTATAAGAACAAGGATTTAATGAGTGGGCGTTGGATTGACTGTTTGAAATCGATAGGGAGAGTATATTTTAGAAATTCTTGACGCTATGTTTTGACGTTACATTGTAGTTAAGTGTGCTCCGCGGGTATAAAACATATTGATTTTAAAATGAAGTAAATTGATTATTGTTAAATCGAATGGCATGAAACTTTACAAATCAACAAAACAAATACTTTTACATATTATAGTGTGCTTAGTTTAAAATTCTAGTGAGTAATATAACAAAGATTGACATCGTTCACGAACTTTTCGAACAGCCCTCGTAGTTACATTATTGTAAGGATATTCAACTATTTTTCTGTAAGTTGGCAATCTTTTATATCAAATTACTTACATATGTAAGGTATGTCACTCGTGAAATTTGTTAAATCAAGGATTTTTTATAAGTATACTTTGGATAAGTACTCATATAGTGTGACTCAAAATCGCAGAGAAAATATGGGGTTAGTGTGCATCTTACTGATCTACGGTACATTTAAGTTGACCTTTTTGCACTTAAACTTGAATGCTTTGGTAAATTACTTAAACCCTAACCATATTTTACCAGAGCTAACCATGGCAATAAGTATAATCTTATTTTAAATAAAATACTTTGAATAATATTTATCACTATACAAATCTTGCAAATTAATTCGCGTAAATTATTGTTTGACCTTTTTGCACTAAAAAGTAGCATATTTGGGGGTATTAAAAAACTAAATATACATTAAAGCATTTTAGAACATCAAGCTTTTTACGACTTAAGTGCTGATCAATCACAAGTATCGAGTACTTTAAAATAATGAAAGAATAAGTTGGTGTCAGTGGTGTTAATTTTGAAATATATACATTTGTGGTATCTCTCCATTATATAAACATTACAGAGAGAAAATACCTTCAATTCTGTATGAAGTTTGTCAGAAGTCAGAGGTCAATACGTGACCTAATCACACGGCGCAATAATATCTACCGATACATAAATTATAAAATGACCAGCTCTACTTGCTTTTCATGTACAAAAATGAATAAAAGAAGCAAGTATAATGATAATTATTTTATTTTAAATGTAAACAAGTATTTCATACAGTTTTGGGGCTATCGATTCAACCCGTGTACATAGAGAAAACTAGGAGCCTAGCGTTTGTTTACATTTTTCTTCACTTTTGTCAGCTGCACAGTCTCTAACGTTCATCCTTATTTTTTGGAAAGACCTTTGGTTAAATTTTCATGATAAACTTTTATTTTATCTTTAAATTTTACTCACGATAAATGTGCAAATCTGTTGGAAAATATCTTTGCAATCATGCCATGAACAGCTGCCAAACACCTCGGCGTTTTCGTAGTTCAATGTAAAGCTGTCGCCATTGTCTCCGTGTTTATCAGTGTTTTACTATAAGTATGCCTTTAGATACTGAAACCGTGGAATGTTTTTGATCAAACTGCAAATTAACTGGCTCGGACAAGTGTCTCAATCCATCGGATCCATCCATCCCTTTCCAGCGACCGAAATTCCTCCAACCTCTTATCATCAAACTTCGGACGTGTTTCTTGTGTCTTTTCAGGATCGATTATCATTTTTCACGAATAAAATATTCCAAGACAACATTCTGTTCACTATTACTGATCACAAGTAGTCTTTCACAAAATATTCCCTTCGAAATAGATTCCTTAGCCTAATGAATTCGAAGCGTAACCGCCATGCAAGCCGATTTACACCTTGCGTCATTTTTCAAAATCTACGACGGACGGTTAGTGCAATAATTCAAATTTGAAAGTATTCAATCGTCTGTCTCAAATGTATATATAAGTAATAAATAACAACTTTATAAACTTCAATGGGAATTGAAGTGGTCGGTACGTGATCAAATCTTCTGAGAAGGTCTTTGGCCTTCACATTATTTGATCACGTTACAGACCCACTTCAATTCCCATTGAAGTTTATAAACTTGTTATTTATTTCTTAAATATTGGTCAAAATATGTGATTTTCAGACGAAAAATGGTAAAAATTTTATCTAGACTTATTTGACATATTTTCATTTTTTGGCAAAGTTTGTTGAATGAAGGTGTAAAACTTGTTCTAAAATATAAATTAAGACCTATAGTTAATGTTCCTAGCAATATCATAACGGAAAATATTCTCCGAGTAAAAGTATGTGAGGCTAAAGTTCCAAGAAATTAAATTTAATAAATGTGCAGATTTGCAGAATTATCTGCTAAATATCCTTCCACCACAAGAAATAGTTCCTCATAAATATTGCTTCTTTGTAGTCTTTTGAGCAGTGTTTTCGTTGAATGTTAAATCATTAACATTGTTGAATGTCAGTATGTTATAAAAATTGAATTTTAATGAATACCCCTGCGAGGTGAAATTCATAATTTCAGGAACTTTTATGAATCGTTCATGAACATTCATGATGTGTTCATGACTGGTTCATGACTGGTTCATAAAGATGGTTCATGAACTTTATTCATGAATATATTCATAAAATGTAGTTCATGAACAAATGATGAATATATATGAATATTGGTAATTTTCATTTTAAAGACAGAAAAAATGTAGAGTTCAAGGTATTATGAATGTTCATGAATTTTCATGAAGACTAAAATAATTGACAAAAATGATTGACAGAAAACACTCAATACTCTCATAATACAACTTTTGCATGCAGATGCAATTGTTGAACAAGCCCCTGGTATAATTTATAGTTAATAACATTCTTTCACCATCTGAAAAAACAAATCATGAAATCTCTAAACATTTCGTGTTTAAATTTTAATTAAACAAACAGTGCATCACCATTGACAGCATTCTTTTCAAATTCATTACTTGTGTTTCTTCATAATTTAAATTAAACAGTTATATTCATCATAATGTGCTTTAATTAATGTCGTTTTTTTTATCACACAACTTTGTTCGACCGAATTTTCTCTAACATCAAACTTTAAACAAGTTGTTGGAAAATGAAACATTCTGGAAAATGAACTTTGTGAGCTTCGTAAAAAACGTTTTATATATTTATTAACAACTAAAAAATTATATCACTTGTCTGTACTGTACCGTATTATTCCTGGATCGAAACGCTATATACATTTCAATTTTGGTGCAGTTAAAATGTCAAAAGTTTCCCTTGCTTCGTGCGTAAATGATAGAGCACAGACTGCATGGTTGTAAAGTATCTATGACATAATCCACATTCGTATTTTGTAGTTTTAATTCTCCTATGTGTCTTCACAGCTCAGAATATTCTGTTTGAGGGCGAGAGATTGTTATTATCATGTCATAGGGGGCCGCCATACTTGCTATACGAAACTAAAAGTCAATACATGTATAATTTATGACGTAAAAAATTCGAATTCTTCATTGATAAAACTTATTTTGATATAAAAAAATTGTATTTTCAGTGAAAAATTATTCAGATAGTGTTTGTAATTTTTTTAAACAGAAATCTTGGAAATTCGAAACTAACGTATTTCTTAGCTCTACCGCACATTTTTGAATATGCGCAAACTTGAAAACGCGCGAGACGTTGGAAGTGGGAATTTGTAGAGTGGAAGAATCAGTATTTGTGAACTATTATTTGCATAATCACTGTGCCGTTTTCGTATTGCATAATTTTATTTCGATCGGGTTCAATATTCTGTTTATACTAATTATGGTAGCTATGCGGTTTGCCTGGCGTTTTGGCTGTTAAGTTTGGTGATGTTGGCCTCTCTAAGGAGTAAGTTTTATATTGTTTTACTTGAATTTATATCTAACTTGATCATCTGTATCTAACAGTATTATGCAATATATTTTATCATGTTTAAATTCTGCAACTACAATGTTTTGTAAAACCGCGCATTTCCAGCATGTGATAGGCATAGGCCAGTTCAGCTCACATGTTAAAGTTACGCATTTAATTTTGTATGATTGCTTATGATTTTGATATTTTATCAAATTCTTATTATGCTTTTGTAATTTGTAGTTTTTCACCCTCTCACAAGGTGTGTCCAATAAACAGTACATTCACTGATCTTTGTCAACTTTTTAAGAAAATAACAGAATATGAAGAAGGAAGACTACATATAGGATCTATCTACTTCATAACTGGTGAGTGACAAAAAATGGAGGCAATCACTGAGTCGGAAATCTGTCTGTAAATGTTACTGTCTAGCCATTTGTAAAATAACAACTAATTAACATGATTAAAGCACATTATGATAAATTAATATGTCTCTTTTTTTAATGCAATTTTTGTCTAACTTAATTTGCTTTGAGTTTGGATCCAACCATATAACACATTAATTATAGACTGAGACTCAAAACATTCATAGGCCTGATTGATTTACAAAATGGCGGTCCAAGAAAAAAGGCTTCAATTCCACTCAGAATGTTTTAATTTGGAAGTGTCTCTAATGCAAAATTAAATGAAACTAAAATGCAAGAAAATACAAAAAAGTCTTATGTTTTACAATCATAATTACTTTCAGAAAATCTTTCTTTTTGAAGGAAAAAGAGAAGCAGTTCACAAATGTTGCTGAGCAGAAGACAAGAAACTCTGGCTGCACAAAAATCTGAGCTCTTGAAAAAGAAAGAAAAAAAGAAATGAAAATATGAATGATATTCAATCAAAGGATCCAAATGATGAAATTCTGGAAATTCCACAGGGAGAGACAATAAGCATTTTTGAATGGACCATCTCTGCTCAAACTGCTTGAAAGCACTGAAAACTGTTACCTGAACAAACTTTTCTCCTAGACTGGAATTAAAAACTGTTCAATTTCTGGCATTAAAACACAATTTGAAACAAGCTGAGGATTAGGATCCCCCTCTCCTTTTGACCAAGTAAGGTTAAACATTCTGCAAAGAGTTGCATTTGAATTGAATTTTTTTGTACTTTTACCAGGAATGAACTACATTTCTCATTTACTATGGTTTAATGTGTCAGAATTGTCTATTTTAAGTTTTTTAACAAAGATTTTGTTGCCATGTTTGGAAAACAAACAACATTTCTGTGACATCTTTCAAGATGCTGTATTATAAATCATCTACTGTTACTTTTTTAGCATGACTTCATGCATTTTCATGAATAAACATGAATAATAATATTGCATTTTTTGTTTACAAATAAGCAAGAATATTCATGAATGCTAATGGTTCATGAATTTTATTCATTCATGAACATTCCTGAAAAAATTCATAAAATTATTCATGAATAGTTCATGAAGATGCAATGAACTTATTATTGGACATTCTTGAAATGATGAATCTTCATGAATATGACTCTTCTTGAATCATTCATGAAAAAAAATATTCATGAATATTCATCAATTTTCTTTCATGAATAAAAATTCATGATTTGAAAATGTCCAATAATAAGTTCATAGGATCTTCATGAACATTTCATGAATAAAATTCATGAAAAATTCAAGGAAATTCATGAATTATTCATGATCGTCTCGCAGGGGTAGTTTTGCAGCAAACAGATATGCGCCAACTTTTCCAAAAAGCTGACGAGTGACATACCTTAACAAAGGAAACGTCTCTTCCCCAGCTTGGTTTCATTGGGCAATAAAACAAACATCATTTTGAAACATCTCCCTTCCTTCACTTAAACAATCTATCCAATTTTAAAATGACAAAACTTCTGGTAAGGCTTTTATCTTCATAAACCTTGTACAAATTATTCTAATCTTCTGCGAAGGAATTTCCAAGATATACATTTAACTTTACAGCCGTTCGTATCTCGAATACGACTGAGTCAACCATTTTTTGTTACAAGTACCTACATATTGACTTCATGTTCACATTGTGACGTCACAAACATGGAGCAAAACATTTCATTATATATGTTATTTATAGAACATGTGTACGACTCGATGTGTGCCAAATTTCATTCTAATCTGAATTATGGTTTTGTAAATATAGAGAAAGTTCGCATTTATCAGTTAATCACTTGTCTTAAATTTATAATTTTAATCGATATATTCAATATATGAATAAGACTTATTGGCATTTAAGCTGATACCTGTAAAAAATTGCACTTTGGACATACAGTATTACATTTATACATAAACATAACAAGAAAACATTGATGTAAGAATCAATTGTCGCCCGAGAAAAAATAAATAAAGTAAACAATTGAAATGAGTCTTGATCATCAATCCTCTTCGATATGTGTGACATGCGTCTAAATGACGGAGACGATAGTCGAGAATATTTTGAAAACTTATAGTCGGATGAATATCGAAGAAAAACGATACCCTTTTAAACTTTTTAATGGAAGTATATATATTATGAATCGCGTAATTTATAAAGGGAAAGAACATTCGGATTCACAATCTTTTTAATGTTTAGAAAATCTTTCATTCTGAATAACTTCTCCCACCTCAACCCATACACCAACACTTAAAGTTATATGTATAGAGCAGCCCGGTCCTCCGGGCTGCAATAAGGAGAGGAGCTAATGTTTAGATTTTAAATCTACATTTTAATCCTATTGAGTTATGCAATAAATAATGCTCAAAACAGCATTGGTATAGATATGATAATTTACAAAGTCCATGTAAAAATACGTATATACACACTTGAATTATAACACACGCAATTTCAATACAGGCTTGCAAAAGCTTACCTATTTTTTAAATCGAATTCTTGTGAACCATATTACAGGCGAGAAATCTAGTAATTTTATAAATTTCTTAAAACCCTGGTAGCGAAGGAACTCTTGGATGTTGCAAAGGAAAAGTTTCCTGACGTATGTACAGATTCAGTTCCAAAAACTCATAATAAGTTATTTTTATTATTCACTAAAATATTTTTCTTTTTTTGTTTTAAATACCTGTACCTGATTGACATCCTGTGATATGATGACAAGCCGTCTTGGAACAGTTACACTCAGACTGACATCTCTCTCCATAGCTAGGAAATCCGCAGGGATCTGAGCAGGTCACTCCATCATATCCCAAACTACAATCTATACAAAATAATAAACGAATATTATTTATATCAAAAATATGATCCTAGTTTTTGATCGAAATAGAGAATGGATTTTTAAATTTAAAGGTATTGCTCAATTTACATATTCAAATCAATGTACATTAGGTGTTTGCTAAATCGTACATAACGTGTCTACAATTCATGAATTGGCATTTTAATCTTTAAATTTGTTTTATGCAATTTTAAAATGAACTTTCAAAGTTGTCTATAAAGAATTTTCTCTGTTATGTCATAGATCATTGCAAGGCTTTTGGCCTTTAATCCATCTGAACAGGCTAGCACCTTACAAAATTATAATGTTTTGATAGGTGTAATATAAAGAATAATTTGACAAAGGATATTTTGGGAACACACCCTGCTGTAGGGTCAAACTTTACAAAAAGTTCTACAAAAGAGAAGGAACCTGTTTTAGACAGTATGGTTCATGTTTAAGTATACCATTTCTGCTCATTATTAACTCAGAGGCTTGTTTCTCAAAAAGACGTAGATTTGGGCCATAGTTAGTCCGACTAAGAGTGTTATGACAAAATTTAGACGGGTCTATATCGCGTTTCAGAAAGCGGCGTAAGACTGATCCTACGACGAAGACCACTCCGCTAGGTACTAAGTATGTGCAGATCGTGCGGTATAAGTGGAAATTTTAGCTAGACTCAAATTTAACGATTTGACTTTTAAAATTGGTATTTTATTTTTAGTGAGATGTTATTTTAGCGTTTTTGAAAGGCTATCCAAAGAAGCTATATTACAAATAAGACAAAAATTATTTTTAGCGATATTCAATTTTAACGATCTTGGCACCCTCGCTAATAATGCCAAAATTAAATCCTCGCTATATTTGTCACATTGAGTATAACATTAATAATTCAATTATTGAGGTAAATAGATTTTTAAAAAAATTTTGCTCATAATTGGAACTTTTTAAATTTACCAATCCCCCCACCCCACACACACCCTCTCTCTCTCTCTCTCACACACACACACCCTCACCTCACTTACACACAAACACACACTCACTAAACGTATTTTTTTTAAATAGGCTACACATGTAGATGGAAAAGTAAAATCAAAACATAGTTTGTTATAAATTAATTTAAAATTTGTTCTTGAACTATACTTGTTTACATGTAAACACCTTTTGGAAAATTTCTACAGCACATTGGGTTGCGTCACCCATTATCATCTTTTTAGATTAAGCACCACTCGGCACACCTCGGCCGATTCGTACTTCATCTGATTTAGGCGATGGAATCAGCCAAGGTTTGCCGAATGGGATAGCTGTAGTGTGATGTGTATTGAAAAAAAAATCATTTTGTGTTATATTTGGATTATATTTCATGCAGTTGACAGGACCTATGACAGTCGGTAAGTACAAGTTTAAGTATAAATTGGGGTAAAATAAACAGAAATGCAAAAGATTAGGTTAAAGTTCAAAGATCATCGCATGCCACAGTAGACAAATTTCACATTATGAAGTAATCTCCCATTGTCGATGTGTATTCATTTACTGGTGCAGATCCAGATTTTTTTTCAGGAGGGTGAGGGGGTTCAGACCTCAGTAAAAAAAAATACTAGCCCAGAATTTCCACATAAGCTAAGGAAAAAATGAAAACAAAATAAAAACAATGATAGTGGGGTCGTGGGGTCAATGTTTTCTAAGGGGAAGAATGTCCAAAGTTATTTTTATTTGCTTTATTTGTATTTATAGTCTTATTTAAATAACAAAGCAAATTTCAGGGGGGGGGGTCACTCTCCCTAGACACTCCCTGTCTCTGAAATTGATCTTGTGACTCCAAAATAGAATTTTTTTTCATTTGACTATATACATATTTTGTTTCTTGTGTTTATATTATGTCTGTCTGTCTGTTTGTCTGCAGAAATTAGATCGGTAATTTGCTTTAAATTTTGATCAGTAGGTGCTAGGGCTTTCATGCTTGACATGTGTATTCATTGTGAACTTTCAACAGGTATAATTATGTTTGACCTTGGCCCTAGAGTTTGACCCACTGAAAAAATTTGATCTTTGCAACTAGGTTAAGGACGCCCATAGGAAATATAATATTGATATCTTTTTTTATAAGCATTAGTTTTAATTTAGTGGGAATTGTACTAATGCATATGCATGTATGGGGTCTCAACCGAGTTCGGCTAAAGCGACTTGACGCACATCAGCTGTTCGTCACGTGACATTGTTAAAATTAGAAAAAAATATGTACGGATATAAAGATCGTAAAAGTTCAACGATATACGGATAATTTTTCACCAAGAAGTCGATTGTTTTTCTTAAATACAAATATCTTAACCCGAAAAGTGCTGGGAACAACTTGCCCATGTCCAGAAATTATATAAAATTTAGCCGTACGCATTGAAATAATGTAAAATTACAGAAAAAAATCATCAGCACACTACTTGCTCCCAGCACTTATCAAAATAGTAGGGACAATAGCTACATGTGTACAAAATATCATATTTTATAGTTTAGCGGATATCGTTGATCTTTTGAGATTTTCGAGGGGTTGTGCCTGATTGTAGTACGTTTGTGTATAAAAGAGCATGAGTGCGGCTTTATAAGAAATCTATTCCTTATAAATTTAATAAGACTGTGAAATATTGATGTTGCATTCAATAATATGACTTTTTTTAGTCAGATCAGGTTTATTTAG